TCGATAGTGTGTTTTCTTCAATTTTCTTCGATGAGGCAATACTTCCTTAAATGGATCGCGTTAAGCGAAGAGGAACCAAGCCACATCAGCTATAGCCAAATTCAATTGTGAAATTCAATTTTTTTCATGAAAACGATTGTGCGGATTTTTGAGCAAATTTCACTGAATTTTCTGCATACGACGAAGCAAATCCATTAAAGTTTTCCAAGGAATCCGCACAAACGTTCTCTTTTAAATTTTAAATAGCAGCCACCCGTCTTTTCTTTCTTTCATTTTTTTTTTTTTTTTTTTTTTTTTTTGTCGTCAACTTTTTAGGGGGAGTTTTTCTTAGGATTGGGCCGGGGTGGCTACCGCCACCTAGAGTTGCCCGGTTAAATTTTACAATAGCGGATGTGGCTTGGCTCTTTTCTGCCGAACGCGGTGCAAGTATAAGTCAGAAGACGTTGCCATATTTGACTCATACGACACGTTTTTGCATCAGGAACCGAAGTAGAAGTCTGTGAATTGAAAGCGAGGCTCTTTAAGATTTCAGACGTGTGTGAATTTGAGTAGGAACAGCGGGGAAGGAACGGTGCCGCCGCCGCCGGGAGTGGAGTCTGCAGCCAGGGCGGAACGGACGTTTTTCTGATAAATTACGTTACTCGAATTTTACGAAATTGCTGATGGAGGTGAATTTTGCTGCGAGTTCGTGATGACTGCTACTGCAAAACGACCGTCATTTGACTCACTCGATTGCAAACTACCGAACACGCTACTCCAACAGCATCTCAAATCACATGGCACTAAGCTCCAGTGATGCTAAATTTTACCAAAATTCCCAGATAATTTCAGCTTATCCGATCATGGACTAAAATCTGTAATTTTTTTTCAAAGGGTGACTAATGTCATGGTCTTGGCGAGCTAAGGAAGAATGCCGTACGAGCCTTCAGACGTTGCCAAGTTTTCTCCCATAAAAACTGAATTTACTGGGAAAATTATGATTGTCATTTGCCGAAATTTGTAGAGAATTTTTTTACACAATTTGATCTAAAATATCTGAAAAAAATCGATGGAAAATATGCATGAATGTTATAAAAAATACATGTTTTATCGAGGGAAGTTTGGCAACTCTCGAATGTTCATACGGCGTTCTCCCTTAGCACGGCAGTACACGACGTGCACTTGGCGTCTTAAAACAGCCGATTCGCACCGATAAAAGACTGAGGCTATAATTCGTTGATTCAAATCTAGCAGACTCGTCTTGGGTTTCTGGAAATAAATAGGGCAAGGTATAATTTGAGGGGCAGAGAGCTCATATAGTGACGGTATGAATGCAGGTGTGCAAGTATGCGTAAGGTGGGCATAATGGCGCGTTTTGTGACAAAATCGCGAATGGACTTTGGACCGAGGCACATTTTAATCATCTACATCTTTACCATACTCACCATATCATTTCAAACTAGACGCCACGCCGCGCCAAACGGTGGGAATTTTCGCGGATTATCAGCTCCAGTCGCCACAGTTTATTAGGAACGTGGCCGAAAGAACAATGAGTTCAAGAATCATTCGTTGTGAAGCGGGTAACGCCAATATGCAATTATATACAAATTCTACAGCACAATGGGATCAACGGTCGGCGACCAGGCTTGTGAGAGAAGGGGTCGGAAACAACCTTTGCTCGCCAAAATTTACGGATCTGTATTTTACTTTAACCTCGAGGGGGTTCCCTTGAATGGCTGCTCGCCGCACGAGACTCTGGATACAACTATTTGAACACGTGGGAACCCGTATTGCATACTCGGAAAGTTGAAGGAGAACATTGCCGATCATTTTGATGTAAATCAAGAATTTCGTTGCGCACAAGACAAATAGTTAATCTAAGTGTTTTCAAATTCAGTTCTATTTTCAGACTACAGTAATTGTGGGGCTTGGAGGGCACGGCTCATAAGTGCAGTTTTTGCTATTTCGAGAAATATGTGTTTGAAGACTCGAAATTATATGGATCCATATGCATGGCGGAAAAAAAGTTCAAACCTACTTTTTGATGCTTAAAAATTGGAATTTGGAAGCGAATTTTTCAGAATTTGCATTAAGACTAGTTTTACTTAAAATCATTAGTATTTCATTCAATCATTAGTAATTTTTTCCAAAACTGCACTCATGCACCTTGTCCTCCAAGCTCCTTACTTACTTGTTTTTAGCACGATGCTGATCTGTTCATGCATCCGTGCTAAAATTTTAATTAAATGCAAGTAAAACTAAAACTCGCAACTCTTGTGATTGTTCAAATGAGTAATTATTCCACTGGGTGCAGGGCAGTTTGCAAAGTATCATAAAAAGGCGACCACTCCAGAAATTCCTATGATGAAATATGAGAGCTTGCACACATTGCAACCCGAAAAACGCAAATATTTGCATGATTTCACCCTCTTCTATTCTCTCTGAGCATTTTGCACCAGCCCTTGGAGTGTAATACCAACCCATTTCAATCCTCAACTAGTAGGCACAATAAGTATAACAATTAAATGAATATTCTCATATTCATGCTCATTTTCTCATTCAAACATTTTCATCTTTTTTTCAACTTTATAGGCTTAATTGGACTAAATTTTGCAATTAGGAACTATGAATTGTGCCTCAGTTTAAAACCATCGTATGTACCATTAGTTTCTCTATCCAGATAAGTGCTTTTACAGATGGGTCGGAAGTTACAGTTCCGAATTGCAAACTGAAGTCCAATATTATAAGATGTGGTGATTTTCGCTGTGCGTTCTTTGTGCGCACTGAAAGATATCTCCACGTAAGATAGCGTTTGCGTTTGCAAATCATGCTCGCGATACCTACATTCCTCGCGATTTTCTCGCCTTTGCGTCGCAGCAGTTTAAAGACTGTGCCTCTGATGTCTAACTCCGATCGTGATAATGGCATTGACGTTGATATTTGTTTTAGAGCTTCGAACAAAGCTATGAAAAATGTTTCGGAAATAATCTAATCTTAACTTAACTCGGCAAAAAATCCTTCTTTTGTGACATAAGTTTCACTTTGTGCGTATTTCGTCCGTTATGATGGTTTGGACCTCTCGGTAAAATTTTCATGAATCCGTCAATTAAAAATAGGTACAATTCTCAACTCAATCTGAAAGTAATCAAATACAGCTCTAAATGCTTCACAAGATCTTGCATACTATAGTGCTTGGCAATTTTTCTATCATTCCTTGCGGGTGAAAAACGCGATTAAAAAGGTGGAAAGCTTTTCGCCTAGCTTTCCTAACGATAAATCCTTCATCGTTAGGAAAGGAACTTTTCATAGGAGAAAGTTTGAGAATATAAAGCAAAAGTCAGGAAAATCTACTTTTGACAAACCGTCTTCACGTTAACATACCATAGAGGAAAATATGCACAATGTTCAGGCTCAACTTCATCATCAAAAGAAGTTGGACACCGTGCGATTCAACTGGTGCATCTTAATTAAACTCTATTTGCAAGTATCTCGTTCTCGGACGTAATAAAAACAGATTTTTGATGGGAACTGAACTTCCGTAAGTTTCTAGTTTTCCTATACCTAACTTCCTTGCTGATTTCAAGTGGTTCTTCTAAAAATCTTACGGCGTGAGGATTTAAAACAAATTCTAATCACAACTTTGGAAATGAGGACCTGACTCGTCAATGGATCACTAGACAGAGTTCAGGTTACGTAAAATACCATAGAAATTTTGAAAATTCCCAAATTTAATTCGTCACAGTGATAAATTAGCGATTATGTTTTTAAGGATTCAAATATCCCGCTTATCAGAAAACCAAATCGGTTTCTACATTCATATTTTCATTTTTGGTAGTTCCTAGTGAAACAGTATATCTTGTGTCAAAAAAGAAAAGAAAGGAAATTTATGTGCAGCGGAGGTCTAGTTACTTGCCGCACACTCATAAGTTTTTCGTGGCTCTTTGACCTATGATGACTTTCGTTTTATCATGAGCGGAAACCAATTCTATTGATAATTGTAAACGCTAATGTTTCATTTTTAAGTAGATGAATGAAATTCTAAATAATATCTACGTACGTATCTAAAGTGAAATTTTCAAGAACAAGGTCAGATTAGCGCTTAGGAAGCCGGGGTCACTAGGGGCCCCAAATCCTGAAATTTAAGGACCCCATGACATTCAAAATTCCAGAGACAAGATCGAGACCCTCCACTAGTACCTTGGCCATGGTGGGAGCTTTTACTTTCGGAACTTCAGCATTCTACTGTTGACTTACCTACATGGTTGATGTTCAGCAACATGTTGGCAGTTTCGTTTTGCAAAAAAGCCGGAAATGGCCGAAGTTTGCAGGGAAACTTGCTTGGCTCATGACGTCACCCGAAGCTCATCAAGGTAGGTCAACAGCCGAAATTAGGATGCTGACTGTTGCTCCCTTATAATTTCCCATAAGGAAGTGTTGAATCCCCGAAAGTAAAAGCTTCCACCTGTCGCTAAGAGGCAAGTGGAGGGTCTCTTGTTTCTGGGTCCACTGGATCGAAATCGCACTCAGAAAAAATTATGGTTATGATTACCATATTTGTGGTGTTCAATACGAACCCTTAATTAGTAGTTGCCATAACCAATAATAGAGATATTTTTACTATTAAATGGTAATTTAACTACCGCACACTCGTAAAATTACGATTGCTCCAGTAAAAATATCACTCTTATCGGTTATGGCCACTGGTAATTAAGAGTGCATATTGAACACCACTAATATGGTAATTATAACCTTAGTTTTTTCTCAGGTGCACTGGAAAAAAAAACACGGTGGATCTAGAGTCCAGACTCTTAAAAACATCGACAAGAAAAAATACTCTTGATTCAATCAGATTTAAGCTTAAATCAAGAACCAAGCCCCTTAATTTCCTTTTGATTCAAGCTTAAATATGATTGAATCAAGATTCATTTTTCTTGTCAATGTTTTCAACAGTCTGGACTCTAGATCCAATGTGTTTTTTCCAGTGTGAGAAAAATTGAAGCAGAAATGGAAAAGTTGCTTACCTCCTCGCATGATGGTGACTACAATTATATTTATGGCAGCTATCAGCCGGCAGGATGACGTCATAATGGAGTACACCGGGTCAGCCTCCACCGGAAATGGTGAAAACCTGACGGGCACCTGGTGGGCAGACCATGGTTATGAGCATGCGCATGCGTTCACATGGCGGACATGGCCACTTGGCGGCCGCGGGCAATTGCTCGACTCGACTCCGGCCGAGGCTCCAGGCCACCGCCGAAAGCTCCTCACTGACCGGCCACGGAGTTCCCTCCGACCGGGTACATTTTCCATCGTTCAAAGCTCATCTATCACGCACAAACACGATTTCCCAAAGTGCTAATCCAAAGTTTCTTCACGATTCACAGTCAGCTTTCGGGGACACGCTCGGTTCCTCCGGTATCGGCACGCACGTCACCACTCCCCTGATTGACCCTAACCTCAGCAGCCGAAGGAACACTGTGGGCACAAGGATTATTCATCAAGTCCTTTCCCTCCCTCCCTCACTCTCCGCGGAACTTTACCCCGCTGATTTCCATCATTTTTGCCGTCACTGACACATAGCTTCCACACCCGTGGATCAATTTCCCAATGGCACGTGTTCTTTGTAACAATAATTCCTTTGCCTCCTTTTTATCTCGCTTTGGAATGAAAAGCTGGAGTTCTGAGAAAATTATGAATCCGTCTCAAATGTTGCTGAATCGTCACTTATTCGCGGGAAAAAGCATGATCATGCTTTGGGAGTTGTGTCAAATGGCCGAGCCCAGCAAGGCCTACGTCACGACCGGCGATCCCCTCGCGAAAAAAGAAAGATACGAAGAATCCCTCTCTGTTTTTTTTTTTTTTTTTTTTTTTTTTTTCCTCCTGGTTTAATGGCTTCGTGTCTAGCACCTTCGGCCACTTTAGACAATGCTTAGTGTCCATAGACATCATGGGATGTCCATGCTCCAGGCTTTTCCAATTTTCAGGGATTAGAGCCGAGGAAAATCTGTTTCAGCAGATCTACTTGTCAATTCCGTGAAAATTAGACGCCACCACTGGGATTCGAACCCGGGGCCAATTGACCTAGAGTCAGGCGCGCTGACCACTAGGCCAACCTGGCCGGCTTTGCAATGCTTGTTTTCTCGGCGTATTAGCGGTGGAAAAGTGTAATTTCGAGGATGGGGGGGTGTCATTTTTTTAATTCTTACTATATAATTGATCATGATTTTGGTCCCGAATGGGTGTGATCACTTAGAGAGCTTGGAACTTTTTGAACCCCTGGGTATGTACCAACCCTGCCCGCATCACTGTGCAATCCTGCAGGGGTAGATCTAGTTCTTACTAAAATGGGTAATTGGTGTTTTCTGGTAATGGTTGCATAAGTGTACATTATTCTTCAAAATTTGATAACTTTCGGGAGATATCGGAATTAGTTCCGAATTTAGAAAAATTCGGAACCAGGAAAATCCTGGCGTGTCGATTTCAGAACTGTTCCGTTAGACTGGTATGAGGTGCTCTATCTACATGAACTTTTAAGAGAGAACCGTTTCATAAAAGATGATTAAAAGTACCGGTCTTAACCCATATTAGAGGGGGGGGAGGGCATCTACGTCAAAACACTCATGTAGTGGAGGAACTAAGTTCTAGGATTAGCCTCTCGAGCCTGCGGTGATTTTTCCTAATAGATAGATTAAGTTTTTCACGGTGCGCAAATATGTGAATGTTGCTCATTAAATCTCACATAGGAATAATATTATTCACATGTCTCTAAAATTACGCATTATTCCTCCGTTTTATTACGATTACTTAGAGTAATATTTTAATTATTTTCCACTCGAAATTTTCCTCCACTTGAGAAGGTCCAGGTTAAAAAATTCTGATGGAAAGGTGCAATTAGTTATACCTAAGTTTAAGACCATTAAACAATAGAAAAAAAAATGTTTAAGACAGACAGAGTATTGTAAAATCTCGGCAACTTTCTATCTTACATAGCACCTTCCAAAGCTAGGGAACCCTTGCATTCTAAGCGGAGGAAGAGATTCCACAACATTTTTTTTAAATGGAACGATTTTGATTCATTTTCTTCACAGAAAGCAAAGAAAAGACTCATGAAACTTTATTAAGGTGATACATCTTCCGCCCTTAGAAGCAAAAATTCCGAGATAGCAGGAAGTACTGATGATGTAAAATGCGGAAACCAAAATCCTTTTTATGCGATTTGTCGCTAAAAAAATGCTTCATTTCATTTATATGTATTAATGAAGAATGTTATCATAACATCTACCATGGAAAATTTGCGATCTTCCTTGAAGATTGAAAACTAATTTGCCCCGTTTAACTAAGAGTTTAACTAAAAAAAAACTAATAAACCCGAACCACTTCGCACGCCTCAGGCGTTATGCTTTACGCGTTACTCTCATTATTTTATAGCATATAGTTTTTTAGCATATGTTTTTTAGCGTATAGCTGCAGCATTACAAAACTCCTATTCATCTCGATTTGAAAGATGATGGTCGAGGTATTTGCCTTTTAAATAATTAGGAAAAGGCAAAAGCCTCCTGCACAGCATTTCCGAACTTTTGCTGCACGCACTAAGGGGCAAGTCTTCTTCATAATGATCCTGTTTAATTTCTTGAATCCATCCGTCCCCATATTTTCACGCATACTACTGTGTAGAGAAACGAAGCGTGTTATTATTTTCTCACACGTGAGTTTGATGGACACGGGATAAAGTGCAAAGAAGTTTGATCCAACATCTATGTGTACTTTCGCAGGAACTTGGATAAAATATATAGATAAAAATCACGTTTTTAAATCATTCAATTACACTACTTTTGGCTACCTATTTAATGCTTTATTTCTGATAAGTACAATTATCATTGCCCATTTATTGACATAACATATTGACTGGCTAAAAACGTCGATGGAACCTACGAACTTCTCGCGATGTAACAAAGAAAACATTCTACATCCGTGGACCAATTTAGAAGTTCGATTAGATTAGTCACCAACTCATGTTCGAGAATTCACGCCCGGGAACACATACCCGGCTGCACTTTTCTAAAATGAATCTTTCTATCGATCGATATTCACCATTGCTCTTACTAAGTTTTTGTGCTTCCACCGGTAATTTTTTAACTTACACTAATTAAAAATTTGATGGAATGAGTGTCCCACATTTGCAAGGTGCATTGCACTCAGGTGCGCGCAATTTTTTTTATTTCACCTAAAATTAATTTGTATTAAATCAGAAAACCTTGTTTCTTGCGTGAGTGCATCTAACGTCATGTCAAATAAATCAACTCGCCGTGTTCAGATGAGAGTAACGGACTTTCAAGTTAATTTATTTTATTCGGAGAACTGGGGGGTTCAATTTGAAATTCCACGATATTAATGACCGCCTGAAATCATTTTTAAATCAAAATCTGAGACTCTGTAGGGAGCCATCATAGAGTATCCGCCATCATAGGGCAAATTTGTTTGCAAACATTCCACTCAGTTCGTGCGTGCTGGAACTTTGACAATTCGAATGAAAAAAAAAGATGATGAATTGAATTTTTTTTATTTTAAAAAATATTTATGTATCAATTAAAATATACTTAAAACTCTTTGGAGAAAAACTAAAAACGAATGAAATAATCAAAGCATCACAAATTCGGTTAAAATCTGAAATTGACATAGGTGTTTCCGAGAAAGTCTATTATTGCCATTTATTTTTCTCTTGAAATTAAATTACTCATTTTTATGATTTGAGAACCGACATAGTTTTTAGTCTCTTATCGGTATGATGAACCTTCCCTAATTTCTCCCCCGAATTGATCCTTTCACCCTAACCTAAAACTATGTGTCAGTGAAGCTCTTGACCCTACCTACAGAGCAATCTTTTTTTTCTTACATAAAAAAAGGGCAAAAATACGTACGTTATAAACCTGTCGAGGAGTTTTACGACCGAGAATTGATAACCTCAGGCACACAAAATAAAAATAACCACAAAATGTCCAGGAATGTCCGAAACCGGTTGTCGACAGAGCACGCGCGTGTGTAATGTAAATAGATGATGAAATCCCGGTTCGGTATTAGTATAGTGAAAAGGGAATCGCGGACTACGAAACGAATAATCAGCACCGGACATACATCGATAATGAACCGCACACTATTATTGGTTATATAATACTACGGCGCGGGGTAAATCATCCGTTGGAAACTCGGCGCTGGATCAATGCGACTCGAGGAAAAGCGCGTTAGAAAGCGAGGTCGCGTCCGGCGCGGCGAAGAAATACTGACACGACCGGGAAAAAAATTCTTAAAAAAATTCGGTGGGGGTACCCAGACGATGACGGGGTGGTTCCCGCGACTTATTCGAGGATGTACTCACAAGTGACTGAACTAGTAAACGAACGGTACGTCCTCTGCTGGAACATAGGACATGCGCGCTGGGCCCCGCACTCCCCCCGCGCCCCCCTGGCGCTCCCTCTGATGCCGGCCCGGTGGCGCCCTTACACCTGCTTATAGGGGATGGTGCGAGGTCCCTTCTTGGCGTGTCGCACGTGATAACGGCCGACGGGTCTTCTAATCAGTTTTCGACTCATTTACCCATAGGCGAATCCTATATCAATACCCTCTTCCCGTAGTGTACTGGTCGTCTCTCTCGCTTTCGTTTATTTTATCTCTCGGCCCATTCATCCATCATCTTATCACTTTTTACCCCTACTCCCCTTCTCACCCCCTCCTCCTTCGATTTTCTTTATAGACGCGCTACTATTTTATTGTTACAGGAGAGCGGCCGAAACTCGGAATAATTGCCATTCAGGAATATTATCACGCGCTATTTCACTTATCGATACATCCAACCGATCTTTTAGAGAGGCTTTGCGAAGCTTAATTTAGCGTTATTTACGTAAATAATGCGGAAAATATTGATTGATTGATAAAAAATCAATTAAAACGACTTTGTTTAAAAACAAGTAGTGATGATAAAAAAATAAAAATAAAAAAAATTGATGCGATTGATCCATTGGAAGCAAGGGGTAAAATCAAATTAATTGTCTATTTGTTGATAAAATCACACAAAAATCATGTTTGGCACATAAAGAACGTAGTTAACCTACCTACTCCTCAGCATGCGATTTCCGTGTTTTTCTTACACGCTTTTTCAAATCCCCGCGTCCGTAGGCAGTTTTTTCTCGCCGACAACCTGGCTTCCCCGGAAAGAGACATGAGAAAATCTGAACTACATAAACGATCAATCTCGTAAACTTTCCTCACGTGTGATTACAATCCATCAAACGTGGTTTATGCGTTTTTTTTTGTTTTTTGTTTTGTTTTGTTTTTGTTGATTGATTTCTTTTTCATTTAACAGTGTTTCCTTCTAATTATTTAATTTGCAAAAAAACTAAATCTGTTGAAATCATATACGAGGAAAGTTTATGACAATTCGCGAGATTGTTTGTTTACTTCGGTTAGGTTTTTTGCGTCTCTTAATGGTCTTGGAGCAAATCTTATCGCCGGTCACTAACAATAAGAAAAACTCACCGCAGACGTGGGAGGTTTGAAGAAGACGCAGACGCAGATTTGCGCGTTAAAAAATGAATTGCAGACTTTTTTCATGTGTCTATAGTGATTTTTCTGCAATTTTACCTGTATGAAATCTGTTTACATGGCTGTATTTTTTACTTGCAACAGACTCATCAGAATAAGAAGGTTTTAGCTTAGCACATTCCACCGATTAACAGTCGTATCATTTCATTTTTCACTCCGGTCCAGTTAAAGTCAGCTACCCTCCCTCTCTTAGGGGCCTGTTCCCCTCTACCTTTGTCAGTAAGGGAATATACCCCGTAAGACAAGGTTAACTGTTAATCCAGATTAGCCACTCTTATGCTATTATAGATAGGATTATTAGCACTTTTTGCCACTTTAGCCCCCCCTTGTGATACTGTAAATAAGCTAACCTTAATTTCTTGCTTCATATTCTCTCATTTTCTACTCTCTACTCTAACTTCAATTTTATATTTCTTTTCTTTTCTTTTAAACACTGTATCCTTCTTTGATTCTCTCACTCCACATTGTCATTTCTGTTTCCAAAAAATTCCTGTATAGTTTAATAATATATCATTATTATTGCTGAGATCTGAACATGTTATTGTATTGTATATTATTTTTATAATACTAAGTAACAAAAATTGCTCCGATTTCAAAGTAGATTACATGATATAGAAGAGGTCGGTCTCTGAATAATAATAATGCAAGGCTGTTGTGAACAACGTCAAGAGGCCGCTCGTTTTTCCAATTTTCCGAAAAAATTCACCCAAAAAAATACTACTTGTAAGTGGGGAAAAACCTTAAAAATCGTCACTGTCTCGTAACTGTTTTGATCCCCGTCTGTTCTCCTCCTCTGACAAATAATCCATAAAGCGGAACAGAAATCCCCCCCCCCCAAGGAAAAATAAGGGGCGCGGGTGACATTTTAGAAAAAGATACTGAATCAGAGAAAAAGTGCATTCCAGCATGTCCGCAATGCCAATTAAATCTCTTCACCGTAAGCGGAACTCTTACCTAGAACATCTAAGTTAGAGGTTGGCTCCACTTCTGACCGTCGATTTTTCAATTATTATTTTCTTTTTTCAGATTTTCCACAGAAAAAATTCTCAGATCCGCTGTTACGTCTGAAACGCTTGAAAATGAATGCACTAAATCTAAGCATTAAGAAACTTCTGCTCGTGCCTCCATTTTAATGCCTGAGAGCCCGGGAAAAAGAAGAAAAAGAAGAAGAAAGTGAAAAAAATACGGGGAAAAAAGCAAGAATAAAACCCTCCTATACAATATCCATAACTTGAATAAATGACGTTACTTAAGGAATCTATATTGTTTGCATTTCGCATGTACAACATTTTTTTTTATTATTTAATAAATAAATAAATGAATACACATATAACACCTTGGCTACTCATTTTTCTACAATCCTTTTTCAAAATGGTGTTACTAATGAACGATTTCATAAAATAAAAAAAAAATAATGATAACAAAAGATAGATTCTATTCTCATTCTAGCTTAACATATCACGAAAGAAGGCTCAAGTCTTTGGTTGTTTAATGTTTATCGTACTCATCATCGACACATCATTGTAAGGAACTCTTACGCGCTGAGATATGAAGTAAGCGATCGAAAGTGCAAAGTAACAAACGATTCAAGTTCATTCAACTATGTAGGACCGCACGACCACGTGCTATGGAACGTAAGGTGTAGGAAACCTATGAGCTCCAAAAATTAATTGCATGGTGCGTGAATATGCTATTACTTAGGCACTTTTTTCGAGAGCTTTTCGATGGTGAAATAGCAGAAATGCGTATTTCGGTTTGCAACATTGCAAATTTCCTGTCGTATTTTATTTTCTACATCGAAAACTACTAAACGTCATTTCTTGGAAACTCTGGTGATTTTTCTTCTACACGAGTGTGAAAATTTCGAGGCAGGATTTATGTTCGGTCTCCTTTTAAAAAATAAAATAGGAGTGGAGTTTTTAAAACACTATAACTGAGGTGCGTATTTTTGCAGTTTTATCGTCCTTTTGTCTTTCAAATTTTAACTGAGCTTGTGCAATATCCATGGTTGAGGTAAAAAAATTCGCTTGAAAACATTTTAAAATCTCAGATTATTTTGTGTATTATTTTATTAATTTATTTATTTTAGAAAACAAACCAAAAAATAGCCTCAAATTTCTCTGTAAATATATTAGAGTAAGTGAAGAATTTTCACGAAACATAAGGGGAAATTTTGGGTAGGTTTTCTTTTAAAAGAAGAAAATATCGAAGGAGAGTTGCAACGTTGCAACTGACGGTACGCATTTTTCGATTCACTCAATGGACAAGTCAGTGTCGATTAGGTTTAAAATTGTGACCGTCTTGGACACACTTACAGAAACTGCCCTGTGAAAAAAAAAATAGATTTTTTTTTACAAAGAAAAAAAAAACACTACTGACACTGACTGCTTTTTATTGGTTAGAATTAAAAATGTAAACTTATCGTGCCAATGGCAACTTCAAGGGTTTTCAACTGATTGTTGGCGATTACCACTTTCTTGTAAAATCAAATATTTCACCTCCAACATAGTTCACTTTTTTCACCGATCTTCTTCTTTTGGCTTTATGAGCTTTCGCTCTTAAAATTTTTTGATTTTTTGCCTCAAGTTTCGGAACCGCCAGTTTCAAAACTATTGAAGGGTCGCGTTATATATATAAAAAAAAAAACACTCTAAAACTTGAACGCAAAAAGAGAGCTATGACACGCGAACATCTCCACTTTAAAAAGGAGTGTGCTTTTTTGATATTCCATTTTCATTTCACCAGCCTCTTTTCTACCACACCAGTCTTCTACCAAGTACTTTAAATTTGGTGAGAAATTAGACATAAAAGCCCACAAAGTAAATTTTGCTAATGTGCACTTTTTGTCATGAATTTGTATTCGTATTCGTTTACGCCACGCCGCAGCCGCACGTCGTGCCACTTTGCGCGCTGAACTGTGCCACACTGCGCCGCATAAAGCGATTTCGTTCAGATCGCGTAAATGTGATGAATATTGCTCACTAAGATTTTGAAGGCTCTTTTAAGAATTATAAATGTAACTCCTCTTATTTTATGCGAGCTATCCTTGCGCTGCTAATAGTTTATTTACTTGATCGGTTGGCAAAAGCTCGCTAGAGGAATAGACCTTCTTTATCGAACACAACGTGAGGTTTTATAAGACCGTCTCAAACTTTGTTTTTTGTGTGTTTTTCTGCTAATTTTTGCTGGATTCATGGCCATTTTGAACGATTATTAATCATTCCCAACCTGAACTAAAAATAAATAAAAATTTAACTAGAGGGAGGCGTATTTTTGTTTGCGATATTGCAAATTTACTATCATATTTTACATTTCGCAGGGATGGAAATTTTGAAACAGTTGCATTTTCTATTTCAATAACTTTCTCTAAAATTTCATATTCCTCTGAAAAATTAAATACGAGCAAAAATTTTAGAACACCGCAGTCGTAGTCTGCATTTAAATCGTTTAATCGTCATTAAAGAGACCCTCTTTGGGCCCTTGAGCGACGGAATCAGGGACTTTAGAATGAGTTCGTTCGGTAATTTTTTATTGCTGGATTTTTGTAACAAAAAGGGTGTAATTAGTTCACAAGAATATTCTCGGATTTTTTTTTTAATGATGTCAAAGCACCGAAAAGGAGTTCAAAATTGCATATTTTTTTAAACTCTTTTGTCTCTGATTGCAATTTATCTCGAGCCAATTTTCCTCGGTAATTTTTATCAAGTATGATAAGAGTTGCATCGTCTAGACCTAGAATACAATCATATGAGGTAAGATTATAATGGTTTTTCGTGTTCCGACAATTTATTCGCGAATAAATTTTCCTTTTTTGTCATAGATTACAATCTATCTTTTTTATCATCTTATAGTAATTCATGAATGCGTCCTATTAATAAATCGATTTATAAGTAATAATTATGATGAAAAAAAAGTTCAAAGAAGTAACCCGTGAAAAGTTATTAGCAGACGGGATTAGTTACATATCCTCAGAAAAATTGTTTTTAGCCAGCTATCACTGCAAAAAATAAAAAACTCAAACAAGGTATCTAATGCAGGTAGATTGCTACT